TAGTCGAATATGACCAGGCCATCAATTCTCTCGATTCAACCGAGCACGGAGCTACCCCAGATGCGTCCCGTATCAATGTTCAAGGTCGTATGGCTAATTATGGAGCCACAATGGATATTGGTGTGCAAGTTGATTCACATGCGGACTGCACAATGCAGTTGCCATGCGGCAGGACTATGTCAGACACTGAAGTGCAGACTGACATGCTAGTGCAGGACGACGTAGCTATGGATTATTCCCAACCTCAGCACTCAGAAACCGCTGTTGAGTCCGATAGTACTGATTCCAGATTCCTTCACGAACAGATGAATGAAGACATCAATGTCTGTTTGTTTGTTGTCCTCTTCGCATAATAGACTCATGAGTTCATTTACGCAGGCTTATACGGATATGTATCCACAGTCACCAGGAAATCAAAACTACGATTTCGGTGATGTATCCAGTACATCAATTCTACTTGAAGCCACGATCACTGCAAATACAAATGTTCTGGACGAATCAGCCTCCAATGAAAGTACATGTGTCGGTAACACTACGACCCAGGAGACACAATGTATGCCAATTTCACCCAAACTGAAATCGCGATTACGCCAACGTAAAACAACGTGTTTAACGACAGCCCCAGCAGTCTCTAAAAGATCCAAGATTTCAAAACGTGGACGACCTGTGGTATTCGCTACAAAACGGACCGTTCTCGCTCACATATCAAAAGATCCTGTTCCGTCAGTCGAATATCCAACATACACAATGAAAGACCTTCTGCATGAGTCTGAAATGGGTGCAATGCATGTAACGCCAATTGTACGTCAATCGTCCATCTTCTCTTGCTTTAAAATTAAGCTACCTTCCAGTTGGCCTCCTTCCTCATGGATCCCGATGCGATGAATGTTGTTTTATCTACTATCAAATCAGATCACGATTCATGGTTGGCCATAGCTCGACATATAGCTTTATTGATTCGTGGAGAATGCATATCCCATGCTATGAGCAAGATGGCTAGGGTACTTATGTCAATTGATATCTGGATCAAGGATATCGCGATAGAGTGTCAGGACACACTTCGTAATATTACTGGAGATAATGTCCTTCCCCCCTTGGTATGTCTATGCCATCTTTGATGCTGCTCCGAGATATACATGATTAGCAGGCGCATTGTGTTCTGGTTGAACTTTCATCCCGGGCGATATCGGATAAGGAATCCGTACGTTCTACATTACACAAACTCTGGGTGAATAGTTTTTATTTTTCATTTCATGATGAATTACTCAGCTGAGCTAACAACTATGTCGTCCGCCACAGAATTCAGACGATGTGCAATCTATGAAATACGTTCTTCGATATCTTCTGCATGTCTATAAGCCTGACATTCCTGATACGTATACCCCTGGATTGAAAATGCTCGCATCAGTGATGAAGGATCAGATGCAACCTGTGCTAGGTCATGGGCAGGTACATACTTAGTAAATACATATGTCACACTGCAGGCATTCTAACACTGTTTATTTCCTGGAAATTCTTTCGCGTTGATAATGTCATACAAGTCGTATCTCACCCACTCGCTCAATAGCAGTTAGCCCTAACTAAACTAACCACTAACTAAAAAGCCAGCACTGTCATTTGAGCCAAACAGCTACCACACACTCAGTGTTCGTTTAACAACCTATTGAATAGTGCAGATGTATTGGTAATACATGGATCTTGTATACTGTCGAGTAGAAATAAAAAATAATAATGCATGCATGCTACAGGTCAGAAACATGCCCTCTCTCAGCACAAATCAATGCGGCGAGGAGGAATAATTTGATTATCGATGTCAGAAATGCTACAAAATGAAATATTTATATCCATAGTACAGTTTCAGTACAATATAATATGTCCAACACACAACAATATTCACTGCGGAAACGAGAAAAGAGCCAGATCAGATTAGTGTAGAGATACACCATATACGCGGAATATAAACAGACGTCGCATACGATGCAAATCCCGAAGCGCTAGACTAGCGAGAGGTACACAGTGCTGACTCTAATACGACCCTGGATACATGAATTGTTCAGAGGTAGATTTGTTATCCGTGTATCTAATCCGACAGCAGGATTGTATCTGAAAACATGCTTTGCACATCTGAATTATGTCTGCATAGATTATAAAAACAGATCCAATTAGACTCCACATAGGATATACACAGGGTTGGTATGCTTTCTAGGATTCCCCATGCGCTTGCCCATAGCTTCTCGCTCGCTCGCTCTTCCCTTTGTTCTCTACACCCCACATCCGCAATGTATGGGTCCAAAGACCCACAGCAACGCCCTAGTGGTGTCCTCGCGTATCCTACTTAACATGATGTCAGTCTCAGGTGATGCGTCATGATCCATACTGATTCCACAACCAGCCTCATCCGTCCCCACTGACTGTGCCCGACAACGGCTTGCCACAGCCTGATGTCTTCTTCAGTGGAGAGGTGCCTAAGTATGCGATGGTAAAGTCAAAAGTGATTCAATGCAACAAGAAAACTCGCGTATTATCAATCGGGTAGAGATGCTCTAAATCACTCACACTGAAATGAGCAAATGGGGATGTTGTTGGGCAAACAGTTCAAACGCACAAAGACACACCATTTGTCCCCACTAGTGACAGGCAGAACGGAACAGGATAGCAGTATATCATCTGCCGTGCTAGCCAAAACCTAATGGGTCAAGAGCAGTAACATGTACTGATTGCGACAATCAACATACCTTCGAAGATCTCATTCTCCTCTGCCCCATACATGCACTCTGGCCCTGGAGTCCATACAAGATGAGTAACAGAGTAGATGTGTGAGCATGCCACGACAAACATGGTACAGACGACATCCTTCATATCAGCTAAGTGTGATCAGTGTGCCATGGAAGTGGTGAAAAAACTAGATATCAAGACATTCTACTGATTCACGCACCACTCATTCAATTACTCTGTAGCGTTGCATTAGCATGGTCATCATGTATATAAAAATGACTGCCAAATCAAAATTTTAATTTATGTACGAGTGTTCACTTGAGACGGTCAACAAAATTCACTGGCTCAGATGCCGGTCCAAACTCGAGATGCGGAAGCAGATGCAGCCACTGTCATCGACAGTATGCACCTAAGAGGCGCGAGGACCACTAGCAAGATGCACATAGCGAGGGAGAAGAACAACACTCGAGATGACGAAGCAGATGCAGCCACTGTCATCGACAGTATGCGCCTAAGAGGCGCGAGGACCACTAGCAAGATGCATAGAGCGAGGGAGAGCAACAACACTCGAGATGACGAAGCAGGTGCAGCCACTGTCATCGACAGTATGCGCCTCAGAGGCACGAGGACCACTAGCAAGATGCACAGGGCGAGGAGAAATAGTAAACTCAACATTGCAACAGCAGATGCAGCCACTGTCATCGACAGTATGCGCCTAAGAGGCGCGAGGACCACCAGCAAGATGCACAGAGCGAGGAGAAATCGTAAACTCAACCTTGCAAGAGCGGATGCAGCCACTGTCATCGACAGTATGCAGCCTAAGAGGCGCGAGGACCACTAGCACGATGCACACAGCGAGGAAAAAAGGTAAAGGATGTTGTGGTCGAGAAGAAAGAGTGATTTCGCGGATTGAAAATATTTTAACTCCGCCTCACATGACATTTCCACGCCACCAAGACGCGCTTAGCGGAGTTCAATTTCTACAGATCTGGCTGTGTTGGCACTGACGTAGTAAGTATGTGGTATATGTACAAGTAAGATACAATTATGATTTGAATCGTTATGTAGTCTGACGGTAATTAACAAATTTCAGTCGATTCGTAAGAGGCAGTCAAAAGCTCAGTCGAAATTTGTGTGTAGTCAACATTGTATATGTGCGAGTAGGATGTCTGTGCACAATTGGGGTAATAAGTAGGACAGTAGACATAATGAGTTACATTATGGAGACGGTCAGTCCTGACAGACGACACAATAATGAATCTTATTGTTGTATGTAGTCAAAATGGTATATGAGCGAGTAGGATTTCTGTAAACAATTGGGGTAATAAGTAGGACAGTGGACATCATAAGTTACTTCATGGAGAAGCTTAATCCTGACATGTCGTCTGTCAGGATTAAGCTTCTCCATGAAGTAACTTATGATGTCCACTGTCCTACTTATTACCCCAATTGTTTACAGAAATCCTACTCGCTCATATACCATTTTGACTACATACAACAATAAGATTCATTATTGTGTCGTCTGTCAGGACTGACCGTCTCCATAATGTAACTCATTATGTCTACTGTCCTACTTATTACCCCAATTGTGCACAGACATCCTACTCGCACATATACAATGTTGACTACACACAAATTTCGACTGAGCTTTTGACTGCCTCTTACGAATCGACTGAAATTTGTTAATTACCGTCAGACTACATCTGTGCCAACAATGGCAAAAATTATTCCTAAATTATCTTTTATTACTAGTGTGTCGGACCATATAGCGAGCTGTCGCAAACACTAGCACAACCAAGCGCCGGGACATATAGAGCATTGGATGTTCCGTTGTTTCAACTCACATATGCATATATTTCTTGCGTATATGTTAAAACTATGATATATAGTAACTCCACGAACGTATCAAGTACTGTTTCCATGAGTAGTTGAGTGGAGAAGGTCGAACACATCTATTCTACTACGAATGTTCTTCACATCTCTCCTACACCCGCAAGGTGCCGATGATCATTGGCCACATTGATAGACAAAATCACTAGAAATACGACCACAGGCCATTTGTCATGTTAGTAATGATAGAACTATGTTTACATTAATATGATCCAGTCCTCATCGGCAGGTCAATGATGCGCTTCCACATTCAATAATGTTGAAATTTGACCCTCAAGGTCGGCACAACGAACGATTTATGACACAGTGCTACCTTTACAAATATGTAGACAACCAATCTATGTAATATCCTGCACCTCCCACATCACTAACGCTGCATTGTTGGATGGTAGACTTTAAATATTCAACACCTCTTTCAATGCCTCCAACATCGAAATCCGATCTATCTTCTTGCCCGGTTTGAACTGATCACCAACGTATAATACATCCCCTGAACGCTTTCGCTTCGTTATCCCAAAGTACTGCATAAGGATGAGAGAGATATCTTCGCATGGCTCTGCGGTCTCAGTATCCTCAACAGACATTGAACTACTTCCCATTGCACGATACTGTTGAGGCTTGGTTGCCATAACACAAAGACTGAGTATTGCTCTTTCATACAGTTCTTTTGAGACAGTTAGTGAGACGGTTAGGTGTAGGAGAATCTTGTAACGCACGTATCCTAGATGACAGAAATGGAATGGCGATGACCATACGGCGCAATGTCTCCAATGCATGATCCATTCCCTGATTAGTTGCGGTATATCCAACTTCTGAGTCAATATATCTCGAAAGCTCCGTGAGGTGCATGCAGGAGTAATTGTAAAAATGTCCTCCTGTGGAAAAGGAGGCGATTGGCGTATATACCGCATGTATTGTACCAGGTGGAAGGATCCTGATAATACATCACTTTCGGCGAGCATCAACAAATAGTATTTGAAACGTACAGCATGTCCCCTGGTCTCAAGGTGACAACACATCCATCGCAGTTGCTTTCGATCCATTTACGATGGGTCGTATAATCAGCGAGCTTGACAGAAAGGTCTTGAAGGTTTATGCGGTTGCTTGTGCCACTCTTCAACCAGAAAACGGCCCAAAACTTTATCCCAGCCTCCATCCTCACCCAGGTCAAGGTTCCTTCGGCATCGTGATGAGGATACGACACAAAGCCCGCATGATGCAGTAGTCCCCATCCCTTCGTAGTAAAGTTTTCTGGGTGAACCTTGCTGTGTATGGGCAAGGTGCCTAACGTTGAATTCCAACCGTAGACGAGGCCATGATCAAGAAGCCTTATGATATAAATCAATCGATTATCTTATGTAGGATATCACACTAAACTTACCTGAATTCATCCGGCATGCTGATGTGCGACAGCGGTATGTCCAGAATGCATTGTATATGAGCAGGATCGTTTATCGATTGCAGAACTCCGCCGATTGTTGAACTAATATGTGGGTGGAGGTGGTCGTTGTATCGACTCCTAACGTCTGTGAAACACATGAATAATTAACAAGCCAATCCTCTGCCTCAACGCGTACCATGTGCATAGACTGGACGAAACGGAGAGATCCCAAATGTTACATCCAGGTATGTACTGCTCAATTCTTTTTTAGGTGCGTTGTGGGGTACTCCACTGATCTTAACGGATTTGTTGAGAGATAGAGCTTCTTCGACGATTTCTGAGATATCCCTGATGGTCTGCGCACCATATTCAAGGTGGATCACGTGTGTAGAACTACGTTGCGAGGTTGGTAATCGCGCCATGTATTGAATGAAGGGTATGTCGACTTTGTCGCAGATATTTTGCTTCTTTTCATCGTAGATGGCCGGTAGTATGGTCTTATGGCCATCCTTCCATTTAATAGAAGGACTTTCTTGCGGCACCTGCGTTCCAAGGACACCAGCAGTAAGATCTAGAGACTGAGTAGACGACATTCTGGTGATTTGAGATTAAGGAAACGTTTGAAAATTGCAGGTCTGACTGAACGTAAGAGTTCCACTTATGATTCAGGGCAGGAATTACTGTATATAATATTTTTGTCAGACCATGGATTGCACATTCTAAGATTGGAAGGTGCGATTAAATTTACTGAATTCAACCTTCATGGAGATATTCGGTAGACTATTTTGTCGACCTCAAGGTGCATACTAGAGAATGGTGCTCATTATTACACTACTGAATGCAGAAATTACATGTTGAACGCGCCTGTAGGTATATGATTTGTTTGTGTTAACGTCGTGTTTGTAAATTCCATCATATCTGCATTTCCATCAAATACTACTTTTGCAAACGTTGGACGATCATCAGAACTTATTTACAGAAGCTTGTCTCAAGATCATTATTCTACACAGAACACTTGAATTTGTTTCCGAGTCAACATCGAGTTCTATACACAATGTCTGCGGCGAGTCTACAACGGTAAAAGTACATGGAGGGTCAGAGAAGTAATTCACTATCATACGGACATACATCTGAATAGCGAATGGACTGTATCAGATATAGATGTTGCTACAATGAGAATGTATCACGTCAATTCAGTGGCGGAGTCATCATGTCGATCCATCTCTGTCTACATCATGAATAACAACGTATCGCTGATTAAATTCAGTCACGCACTTCAGTTGCAGAATCCCCTACATGAGCCACATTCTCTGAAGTAGTATTAGCCACATTCTCCGAAGTAGTATTGGACTCTATTGGCGGCGGATGCATAGACATATCTGTTCCGGACTCCTCCACTTCGGGTTCCTGAGTGCTGGGAACGAGGATTACTGGCGTTTGAGAACATAACTCTTCAGAAATCGGCTCTGAAGCAGAATCTGTCATGTGGCTATCATCGACAGCATGTGAAACGGGCGCAATTGTGGGCGGCTCAGTGACGATTTCATCCGGCGCAGCAATCATTGGTTGGTCGTCCGATGCTTCAAGGAGAACAGATTCGTTATCCACGGAATTGTCGTGCCTGGAGATAGGAGAGGTGGGATGTTCTATTGGCGATGAGAGCAATCCAAAGCCATCACTGGGTGTGGCCGATTGTATGGGAGATGTTAAGGGCACACTAGCGACGGAGTCATTTCTAGGACGTTTCGGATGGCCACGACCACCATCCTTCTAATATCTCTAATTAAAAGAATGCATACGTATAAGAGCACTTTCTCACCTTCGGAGGAGACGCTTGCGATAGCGTTCGCTTACGCTTTGGAGCTTTTGACATCCAAACATGATGTTTTCGTAGGTTGGGCTGTATAGCGTCGTCAATCCTGATGGTATCCAACGCCTCTGCGACCTCTACGTGATCTTCGTCAGGTGATCCAATAGCATCATCGTCGGTGACGTCTGTAAATCCTTCTAAAGGTAGGTCCATTTCGTCTTCGTTCAGCTGCAACCACGGGATGCTCATATCTGTCATCATCCTAATGAATAGCTCAGTATAGACGACCATATATCGAACATTCGATCGCTTACTGTGCATTTATGGAAGGGGGAGAGCTACTGGCCCACAATCGAGGATTGCTCGAGCCAACGTCTGACTCTGCGATGACTTTTCCGAGTGCGTGGAATAGGTGACACATGTAACGAGGCCTCGTCTCTATATGAGCGATTGCGGAATACAAACGTTCCATCCCTAATGCCTCAAAAAAGTGATCGTCATTCAAACAGTCTATCATGCGTGGATTTTCGCCTATGACGACACCAGGAATGTCTCCATTAAGGTCGCCCTGTGTTAGTTGTCGGTAACGAACAAGCATCCAGCTAGCCAGCTTCAAGAATACTTGAGAATTTGCGTGCTTAAATGCAATCTTCGTCCAAGTATCCCAGTCGTCTGTATTAGATGGTAGAAGGATTTCATCAAATCCTTCATCGTCCACACCAATCGCATTCTCATCGCGAACGTACTGTATGTAGTTATGTATCAGTAAGTTGCCATTAATATCAAAGAAGGACTCACCTGAATCGGTGAAGGAATGGAAGTTGACACCGTAGGCGGGTCATCTGTAAGCTCGTTATCTGTCACTGACTGTGGAGCAGGAGCCTTCTTCTTTCCGCCTTCTTTTGTAGCCTTACCCTTTCCACCGTTCCTTCGATCTTTCGAACGCTTCTTCGCATCTTGACTTGCTTCAAATCGCATTGCTCTTTCATTTGTTGCGCTCTGAAAAGTGTATTAGCAACACAAATTCTCTACATCGTCATCTTCAAACCTCATCATCGGCATCGTCTAGCTCCTGTCTCATCTGAGTTCTCCCATGATGAGTTGCAGGTGTGCCCTGACGTCCATGGTTGTTCTGGCTCTTTTGCTTAGCTTTAGAGCGTGTGTTGCGAGATTTGGAATCGCCTCGTTCTGCAGGATCTATATTCATTTTATCTGAAGATTCCTGTGACATCAAGGAAACGTCCGTGATCCCTGTAGTTGTTCCAGTCGTCTCTTTCGAACCTCCTACAGCTTCAACACCGTCATTGATGGAATTGCCACTTGCGGCAGGAAATAAACGTTGAATTACTTCTTGAATCATGTCCTCTTCGGATCTTCCGTGTTCGAACGGCCCTCCACACATATTTTCACCGTTGGCACAGAATGCGTCATGCAGCGCCTTAGCATTTACTATGATTTAGATTTTGTCAGTCGCAGTAAGAATGTGAATAAAGGAATATAGTGATTCCTTACGTCCCTGGACCTTTTTGAAGGCCCTCTTCTCCTTGAAATGCGCCCAAGTGCGTTTCATCTCCTTCAGCGCTGCATCCTGCATCTCCTTTGTGAATGCACTGTCCTTTAATGCCATTGCGAAGTGAAATTCAAGGTAGGCAGAACGCCACTTCGAGTTCGAACTTGATTTGTCTTCCATCGCCTCGCGAGAGAATGCAGTTATAATGCGTGCAAGATATTCTATCAATGACATGTAGAAGTCGATTGTTTCGTTACGAGCATCAGACGTTGGAAGCTTCTGGAGCTCTGCGGCGGTCTGTTGATACAGACGAAGTTGATGAACGACAACCCGAAGTAGATCAAGACATTTCGGGGAAACTTTGACCTACGTTCCCAGACATTGCATACGCTATCAGACACTGTAAAATTGTTGGAAACTCACCTTATCTTTTGAATTGCCGATTCTTAAAATGTGGATATTGTCCTCCAGATCAAGAGATACGTGATACGTATGCAGGACGCTTAACATAGTCTCTGTGCAATGTTGGAATTCCAGCACAATCGTTTGGGATGTTGGCAACGACATCTTGGAATGATTATTCACTGTTTGAATGTTAAGATCGTTGTTTGAGGTATGGGTTGAGTGGCTCAATGAGTCAGTGGTTGATGTATCCAAAGAAGGTATTACTTTCCGACGTCTAAAAAGGAAGGAAGCGAATTTGAAGCGTGTGAAAATCAAACGTTACATTTCACCTCAACCCAATATCTTCTTTGCACAAATGCTAGACCCGTTAACCTTTGGACTAGGGAAAAAGGTTGCTCCTACATCTATAGCGTCTCCTGCTGCTACATCTATAGCTCCTGCTGCAGCTCCATCCATATCTCCTCCTGCGGCTACAAGTACAAATCATTCAAGACGTGCATCTTCATCTCCCTCTCGAAATTCTTCTCGAGCAAGAACACAGGAAACAGATACCGAAGGTGGTGGCCGGACACAGGTGCCACCCACAGGTGCCACTCGCATACAACCTACGAGAAAAGTCAAACACAAATCTCAAACACTAAATGCACCGTATGTGAAACTCACGCCAATTTCGGATGATCAGTCAGATCTTATGGACGTCGACTCAATGGAAGATGAGAAGACTGTCCGGTCAAATACATCTTCCATAATGAAACCTCCAATCATCGTATGTTCTGTAAATATCATTAGGCGTTAATATCATTGACATGCCTTGAGTGTTGTATCTACTGTCACGATGTTGGGTCCTATATCTGGAATTGTCAGGGTCAAGGGTGTGGAAATCCTGTTTGCGTTAGTTTGAGTGAAAACGATCACGGATGCGTGGATGCATCTCCGGATCCAGAAACAGGTCACATCAGCGTGACGGAAGCTACGTTTTTATGCCCCAGATGCCATCGCGTCAGACGTCTCGCAATGAATGTACGTCAACAGATTATCGGATTACATACTGACATAGAGGCATGATCGAAACAGTACAAGATTCTGGGCTATTCCGTTCGACAGGATTTCTTGCATCGCAACTATTTCCCATTGCTTGCGATCTTCTTATCATGGAGTGGCTTCCGAACTCCATTCCCTACACACATCATTAAGTCAACGCTGGAGGAACATTTTCGTCGAGACACAACCAGGGTACGTGTGTTCCATATCGTCATTGATATTGCACAGACTCACTCATCGATATCGAACAGGTGCGGATTGTCACACGTGCACTGAAAGCGGGCAACAATCGTCCATCGGCCATGAAGCCTCATTTCGATTGGTTGCGACAAATTTCCTATTTGGCAAATATGTTGATATTTGTGAATACACACTCGGATGCAAACACGGGACATCTTGTGGTGGCAGGAAATGAGCACAATCCTCTGTCAGTCCCAATCAATGAGGTATGTGTAGCAGCATTCTTGAAAATTTCCACATAATCCTCATCATCTCTCTAATAAATGATATAGCTTCTATCGAATTACATCGGCGACGACAATTTAAGGGATGCAGCACATGCTATCTCTGCCATTAACAAGAGGCCAAGTGTTGGGCCCTGCATGCGTGGCATGATTATCTGCGCATGTGGATCCACAGGACGAGTGACTGACAGTGCCTATCTACTGAAACGGATTGTTGAAAAGTAAGAAGTTCTCTATACACCCTATGGCTATATATTATATATAACACATCATATTTTCTGTTCTTGTGGGTGTTCCATTGGATGCAATACATCACTGGGATTCCATTGCACTCATTTTTAAGGAATTTGGTGGTCGGAAACATGAGTTATGGTCATTTTACTGTTTGCAAGCTGATGCTGCTGAACCGCCACATTAGAACAGCACAACCCTGCTAAATGGACATAGTATCTTATAGCTATGGCTCTATATGTATCACAGTCATGTAAATACATGTTTTCACACTAATTTTACAATATTTCCATAAATTATCTATTGATATAGGAGGAGGAGGAGGTGTACAACACCACAAAAAATTATTGATGGTTTAAAACATGGTCCATCATCTTCTGTGACCTTCAAAACGGTAGGGAGAACCTTGATTGGGTGTTTACTGATGTCTAAGATCTCTGGCATCAGACCACCCCCTAATCACTGGATGTATCTGACTCACCACACCACAAAAAATTCCTAGTGTTTCAAAGCTTGGTCTATCATCTTCTGTGACCTTTAAAATGGTGGAGAGAACCTTGGTTGAATGTTTGCTGATGTCTAAGATCTTTGGCATCAGACCATCCCCAACCATTGGGTGTATCTGACCCACCACACCACAAAAAA